GTAAGGTTGGCAAAAAGATATTTTATTTTTTCGAAAAAAAAGTTTTAAAATTTTATTTTGTGGGTGGGGGTGGGGGTAGAGGTTGCCAATTTTTTTTTTTTACAAAAAAGGCTTTTTAATTTTTTTTTGGGTTGGGGGTGAGGGGGTACAGAGGTGGGGTGGTAGGGGCAGGATGGGATGGTAGGGTTTGAGGTATTAACAACTTAGCTTTGATTTAATATTTTTTGGCTTTAAGAGATTAAAATGGGTTACAACCATTTTATCCAAACCATATTTGACCAAATTCATATTTACCCATATTTTATATGGGTGGATTGTGATCCAATAAATTTTTATTCAATCCATCCAAATCCGATCCAAACCACCCATTTGCCATCCCTAGTCTTAGTACATCCAACATATATTTTATTTAAAACCACAAGAAAGTCTTCTTTAATATTAAATTTTAGACTATAAATTTATGCTCCACTTTAAAAGTATTATGTGATGAACCCGGTAGTGAAAGAGTGAGTCTGGCCCTTCGAACAACATGATCAAACATTGAGCAAAAAGGCAGAAACGATGTTGAATATGGTGTATTAGTTGATGTATTTACAAAGAGACTACACAATTATGGTGAAAAAGATGTAAACCAAATTTTGAGGGGCAATGAAGTCTTTAACCATGATAATGCATGCATAAAAACCCCTTGCAATACTAATATCTTGAATTTTCATGTATTAGTAATACATACCTTAATACAAAATCAAGTGTACATAGATTAAAACACAAAACAAAGTACTATTAATACACAAAATCAATGCGTTCATTATTATTTTTATACACTCTACCAAATCGTGTTAGGTAGAATAATGTCAATCATTTCTCTTTGGGTAATTGGTGTCACCCCACCCCTGCGGATCTAAATGTATGTCCCCACTCCCCATACTTCCGAAACAGTAGCCCCTCCCAATCTCCAAACAAACGCGTTACATTTCAATCCTTTCAATTCACAGCAATTTGCTTCATTTAATTTAATAATTCCCCTTCTTCGATCCTTCCTCTTCCCTCTACCAAAATCTACTATATATATTAACATTTATGTCCCAATCTCAAACACACATTCCTTAAGATTTTCTATAATGTTGTTGCAGCAGCTATCTGTTCTTGCACTTCTCTTGCTATGTCCTGTTTGGGCTGATAATTTCTACCAAGATGCAACGGTCACGTTTGGTGACCATTGCGCTCAGATAGAAGATGGTGGGCGCCTTCTCGCCTTGTCCCTTGACAAAATTTCAGGTTCGGGATTTCAGCCCAAGAATGAATATTTATTCGGAAGGTTTGATATGCAGCTCAATCTAGTACCTGGAAATTCTGCTGGCACTGTCACTACCTTCTACGTAAGTAACACAGCTTATTTCCTCTTACTATAACTCATTAACAAAAAAAACACATGTTCACTGAAGTGTTTTTTTTTTTGTACAATATGCAGTTGTCTTCTCAAGGAGCAGGGCATGATGAAATTTGATTTTGAGTTTCTGGGAAATTCATCAGGTCAACCGTACACGGTTCACACTAATGTCTATTCTCAAGGAAAAGGCAACAAAGAACAACAGTTTCGCCTATGGTTTGATCCCACCTCGTCGTTCCACACCTACTCTATTGTTTGGAACTCTCAACGCATCATGTATGTTACTAATTGAACTTTAATCCAAGTCTAAACAACTTACTTAGTGTTTATGTCTGACATCTTGGGGATTTTTTCTAATTGGCCAGATTTTTGGTGGATAATATCCCAATAAGAGTATTCAACAACCACGAAGCGATTGGTGTTGCATTCCCAAAGAATCAAGCAATGAGAGTTTACGCCAGTTTACGGAATGCTGATGACTGGGCAACACAAGGAGGGCGGGTGAAGACGGATTGGTCCATGGCTCCATTTACAGATTCTTACAGGAATTTCAATACAAATGCTTGTGTTTGGTCAGCTGCATTGTCTACTTCGTCCTGTGGAGGCTCTAAGACTGACTCAGTAAACAATGATCAGGCATGGCAAACTCAAGAACTGAACGGTAATGGCAGAAATAGGCTTCGATGGGTTCAGCAGAAATACATGATCTACAATTACTGTGCAGATGCTAAAAGGTTCTCTCAAGGCCTTTCTCCTGAATGCAAACGTTCAAGGTTCTAAAGGATCAAATCTATGAATGTTGTCTATAATATTATCTTGGTTTTCTTTTCTATTCTTTAATTTGTTCCGGGATATCAGGGAAAAAAAACATAGTGTAATTATTTGAGCAAGCAATACATTCTTTATTCTTTTTGTAATCGTGAAATAGAAATAACGATGAATCGTTTTCCTGCCAAGTCTGTCCATCTTTGTGACCATCGTTGCCTTTAAGTAATTTCTTTTCCTAGGCACTCTCTGATGTCACATATTACTTGCAAGCAATTATAAAAACAACAGAGAATCAGGGAACTGCTAAACTTTTAATCAAGAGAGGACAAATTGTGATGACAAAAAAAAAGAGTGTAACAGAAAAGGAGTAAAGAAAATACATTTGATTACCTCCCTTCAAGAGACGAGGAAGGGGGTGCGGGGACAGTACTTACATCAGCTGGAAGTGAAGATCTTACACAAGTCATGAAATATACATGAAGTTGCTGTAGCATAGAGCTAATCTTTGACAACTAAATTGAGCCATACAGATGATTATTGTATAATATATTTTATGAAAACCTGGAAAGGTTGTAGCTTAAAATGGCTTCCCGAATTCTTGTGTCTGCTGCTCCCAGGCCGTCAGAAAGCCTACACAAATATATTAAGCATATGCTTAGAGAACAAAGACACCTATAGCATCTGAGATTTCATCTACAAAACAGAGAAGCACACATACATACATGTACACAAATATACATGCATGTCGAACATATTATTGCACATGCCTATGGCTGTGGAGCAGAACATCAATGAACTGACCAAACCAAACTACAGGTCATTCAGCAAAACACATCCTCATTTCAAAAGCCTAAGGTCACTCTCATCACCATGGATTTCCTTATCGCTTACCTGTCCTATAATCATCAATCAATTCCCCCCTCTTTTTTTGGACTATTTTTTTCTACAAAATTCATGATACTGTTCAGAGAATGTAGAGCTTTTGACAGTAAGACATTTAATTAGCAATGGGACACATCTTATGGACCATCACACCAAAGCAAAAGGATTTATAATGTGTAGAATAATTAGAGATCAAATGAATAGCATAACATTAATGTGCACAGTAATCAGAACAAGCAATTGGTGAAACCATTAGTGAATGCATAATATAGGATGGATCATGGAGCAATCATGTTTCCGTACATGCACAGGATTTTCCTCCAAAAAACACCTCAATTAGTAATATCGAATTCAAGTGCATGAGAAAAGATCTTTAGCATACTTATCGGTATTTCTCCCAAAGACATATATATTGAATCATCATCTCCAAGCACTGCCTGAAGAAAAAATAATAGTATTCAACAAGAGGTTGGTGAAAAACATTCATCAAGAGTTATGTCGTTCTCAGCTGCAAGTGAAAGCAGAAACAACAATAGTAAAAGTAACATATTGAACCAATTCAATAAATAACAGCTAAAAGACAAATTATGAAAATCATGGCACTAGTACCTCTCCATTATGCAGGCCCATATCATTGTGAAAAGAATTCATATTTTCTGGTACAGAAGAACAGCTTGGTATATCATTCCCAAGCAATTCTGATATCATCAGTCCATAACCATCCTGAACATCAGGAGTATCGTCGGTACCATGGGGGTTATTTGAAAAATCATCTGATCCAGTAAATACAACTTCAGACCTGTGTATGACTTCCCAAAATTAGAGGAGAATCTAGGTAAGCAATATGATTCAACTAGAGCATGTTTATGGAAAACTAAAGAAAGCAGTCATATCAACTCATGGACCAATGTTCTACCAACTTAGACTGAAACAACGGAAGATGCAAAGCCATATTAAAGGACAAATTTATTGATGTTATAGTCTTACCTCGTCTCTAGATTATTCAAAGCCTTGTCTTCTTGTTCAGAATCATTATCCAAATCAATCACCTCAATGTCAATATGATCAAAGGAAGATTTAGCATATTGACGAGCTGTATTGCAGTTACTACTCATGGTCAGATCAATATCGACTGGTGCTTCTTCTTTTACACTTCCAGTTATCCCTGGGAATATATCAACAGGATCAGCATTTTGAGTCTCATTCACAACAGAAGCTTCCAAAAGATTGGGGTCACAAGTTTTCAAGGAGCCTGGAAAAAGTTGTTTTCCTGTAAAGTCAGTGCCTGGCTCCACATCACTCTTGGTAATCAGAGGAATGTCAACCAACTTCTTCTCATCTAATGACAACATCACTCCCTCTCCGTGCGAAGTCCCTGGTTCCTGTGAATTCGGCCAGTCTTCCATGGAATTAGAATGGTACAGAATACCATCTGAGAGAGAACATGTAGATGAAACCAATTCTCTAGGTTTCTTAGTTCTCCCTGTACAATCATCATCATGCTCTAATGCTCGTTTCTCTCCTCTTTCCAAGTTAATAGAACTGCAACTTTCAAATCCAGGTAACTCCACAATTGTTTCGTCCTCCTTTATTACCATGCTGTCTCCAAGAGATGAGGAATCCGTCTCATTTACTTGCTTAATGACTTGAGAACAACGTGATTCTTCCTCCAAATCAAGAGGTTCCGACTTGCCAGAATCAAGGTTTCTTGCATCATGACTATGAGGAGATGAAATTACACCAGCAGAAACATCCACATGGTTCAGTTCTGAATGCATTTGAGTATCCTTAGGAAGCTCCATCTCACGGGTGTTCTCATCTTTGATGACTGCATTATCAAAAACCTTCAGAACTCTATTTGCCAATGAAGAGCGAGTTTTCTTGGGAACATGCTCAAACCTCCAGACACTAAGTAAATTATTACTACTCTTGATTGTATGCGTATGTTCTTCAGTACAAGGTTTAACTTCTATGTTCTCCTTGGCAGCTTTTGTCTCCAAATCACCATTATCATTGGAAACATCAACCTGATCAACTTCTATTTTTGAGGCTTCCATTTCAATACACTTCTCAGTATGTTGTAGTTCATCCTCTGATGGAAGATTAGTTTCAGTGCTAATAGGACTTGCCTTTTTACCTGCATCATCCCCTGCCTTGTTTTGGCCTGCAGGCTCTGAATCAATCAGCGAGTCCCCTGAACTCTCAATCTCAGGATCTATTTTCCTGGGAGGGGAATTTTGCAACACCGCATCACTATTCTTAGCTACTTTCTGTTCATCTCTATTCCCTGAAAAAGCATTATCTTGAGCATCCACATCAGGAGAGTTCCTGACTCTATTCCATGACCCAACTCTTCCTAATTCTCGATTGAACTCAGAGCCATAATTTTTAAAAGTTTCATTTCTTCTACTTTCTCTCACAAAGTTTCTTGAACCCATTGAGTTATATTCCTCCGGAAACCTTTTCCTACCATGACCTACATCACCTGCAGCACTCCCAAAATGAGTAAGAGCTGATATTCGACCTTCCACAGGGACCCCCATAAAATCAGCCTCCTGTGACCTAAACCCCTGAAATTCTCCAACTGGATTCCTTAAGCTACCATTTTGATATTTCCCTGAAAGAGCACTTGGATGCAACGCTCCCTTGGAAACAAGGTACTCAGCCGCTAGCCGTCCAGCTTCCATGAAAATTTCATTTCCATGTGGCAATCCAAACTGCTTTGATTGACCACGCCCAAAATCAACCCGACTAAAGTTTCTATACTCACCACGACCTCTCGCAAATCGCTCAGGTGAAGCTCCCACACCCCCAACACCCATTGAACTAGACCTATTTCCATTTACCGGACCACGATATCTGGCATGCATGTTTCAATAGCTAAATAGTATCTAATGATCAATCCCAACAGCACTTCTCCTGAATGATAACAATCCAAATTATTCACTCAAAAATTTCAAACTAAACACCAAACACTAATTTTTATTATTAATTTTCTTTTCCTTGTTACAGTTTCCTTCATAAACCCTAAAGTGACAAGTCTCTAAAATCAATGGCAATTGAAATAGCTTTGAAAATTTGTTACCTTGTTCCAAAACTGATGATTTATTAGGGTTTCAGATCCATTTCACATCATCATCAAATTGTACCATTTCTCCATCATCTTCATCAAAACATCAAAATTAGGTTTTTTTTTTCTGTTCAATTTTTATAATTTGTATATTTTCTGGAGAAATCTAACTATTTTTGTCCTGGAAATCATCAAGCTCTCAAGATCGATACAGGTAAAATAAAAATTAAAAAAAAATATTGTTCGTCTGGGAATGAAAAATATAGTGGAAAATTGCGGGTTGTTCAATGTTTTATGTTGATAATTATTTTATTTTTTCAGTGTTGCCAAAAGTGTGAATCTACAAGAAAAGATTAAATTAATTACTTACTTTAATTAAATTGAAAATAGGAAAGAAAGTCAAGTGCGTGATCCACCAACCTGCTTTTTATTTTCTTTCTAATTAAACGCATTAGGCATATATTCATACCTTTCTCATCTTATCAATAAATTAATTATTCTGCTCCTGTCTTAATCCACTTTCGGATTCGAGCTTGGGTATGCATTTTTTTTAATAAATAGCGTTTTCCTTATGAATAAGGTTTTACGTGGCGTAAATTCAGAATATCAGGCTTTAATATCGGCATCAAACATCAGATGGAAAAAAATAATATATATACATATTTCTATTAGTCCATTTAATAAAATTGTCTCCTTTTCTTTTGTTACTTTTATTTTAATTTTTTACATGACATGCTCTAATATTATAAATTAAAGAATATTTTGTTATACTTTAAATTTAAAACCACAGTAAAAATCTTTTTACTTTCTTAAACTCTATGCTAAATCAAAATAGAATCGAGGCACAATACATAAATGTGTCTTTTAATTTTATCTCATTTCACATTTATGCCTTTCAACTTTGGGTCTGCATAAGTAGAGACTTAAACAAATATAAAATTGAACACGTAAACACATGAGTCTTACGTGACATAATACACGTAAAATGCCACATAAGTCTCAAATTTATATGTAGGATGTCATCTAAGACGTGTGTGTCTAGTTGTTCAATTTTATACAAATTTAAATATTTATGTACACACAAAATTAAAAGACATAAATATGAGTTGAAACCAAGTTAATTGGTATATGCCTAGAATTGAAACGGAGAGAGTGCTAGTTTTAGTGTGTGTCACGTGTATGAAGCATCAAACAATAAAAATAGAGAAAATTATACTATCTCCGTTCTCTTTTAATTGTCATATTGTGTTTTTCGAAAGTTAATTTGACTAATTTTTAAATTAATTTAGATTACATTAATTCGATATTTTAAACAAAAAATTAGATATTCAAAAACTATACGAAAAGTACTATAAATTGCAATTTTTTTGCATATCAATATGATGAAAATTACATCGTAAAATGTTAATCAAAGTTCTTATAGTTTGACTGTAAAAATAAAAATCATGACAATTAAAAATGGACGGAGGAAGTTTATTATACGAGGAAATAATGCTACCAAATTGGGTCCATGTTTTATTTTCTTACCTAATTTAATCCAATTTCTATGTAAATAAGATTTATTTTGTTTTCATTAGTTAGCGCACAGAATATTTTTACGTTATTTTTTCATTTTGTTTTTTATTTTTCTTTTTCTCACATGATACATGCTTTTTCCGTGATAAAGTTTTACTTTCTTCGGATATTAGAATTTTATTCTATGTTATGTTTTTTCTTCTTCTTCCAAGTACATTTATCATTTTAATCAAATTTTCTCCTTATTTTTTCACTATTGCAGTTTCGATTTTTGTTCGAATTTTTGGTTTAGATTTTTTGTGTTTTTTATTTTTGATTTTATATTGTATTTGCATCTTAGTTTTGATATTTTTACAACCTTTTGTGATAGGTTTGCATGTCTTTTTATATTGTTTTTTTTTTAGAATACAATTTTGTTGCTGATTTTAGGGTGAATTTTAGTTTTTAATTTTGGGTATAATATGATTTTATCTGCTTTGACTATTTCTTTAGATATTTTATTACGTTAATAATGTATGCAGATTATGAATTAGTGATGAATTTTTTTATTTTGAGTACACTAAATGTTTCCCTTTTTTATTCTTTTTTTTCTAAGAAAGTGTGCTTAAAAATAATTGCACCTAGAAGTCATGCTAAGATTGCTCATAAATTCTGATAAAGTTATCCGACAGTATACAAATTCAGGAAAAGATCTAGTTATCATCTAGTGAAAAGCCTAGCTAATAGTACTGATCATAGAACTGAAAACCTCAAGTCAGTGATCAATCTTTCCCAAAATCTTTTTGGACTTTCTTATGGGCACTCAAAATAAAAAACAAATACAAACATTTCCTTAGAAAATGTAATCTTAATGTCCTTTCTGTTAGTGCGGATATTTCTAAGAGATTGCATCAAAATTGTGATGTGTGTAGGGTCTGTGGCTTAGAAACTGAAACAGTTGATCATATGTTTTTCAGTTGCCCAAAAGCACAATTAGTATGGAAGCTGACTCCCATTAACTGGCCTAATGTAGAAAATGTTATGAATTTTGCAATATGGTGGAATGACTTATTTTGTAATACATGTCAATATCCAGAATCCATTGAGCTACTAAGATTGAGTATCTCTCTTTTATGGCAAATGTGGAAAGTGAGAAATTCATTATGTTTTAATGATGGTACATATGAACCTAATTAATGACATAGTTAATAAGGTTTTATTTGATTTACATGAATATGACGATGTTGTGCGAAATTCGGCAGTTGTGAATCCTATACCTAACAAGATTTATGTTGCAACTATTACTTTGGCCCGAAATGGGATTGTTGTTTTCACAAATGCAGGTCTACAAATGGAGAAGGAAAAAGCAAGCATTGGAATGGCGGCTATAGATAGCTGTGGTAATTTGCTTCATGCCTTTGGTACCCCTATTCAGTATGTAGGGAAGGCCATAATTGCTGAAGCACTAGCAATTCGAGAAGTTGTGGAAAGAGCACTACAAAAGAGTTGGTCAAAGGTTCACATACTGTCAGATACAAAGAATGTCATACAAATGTTACAAAAGAATTTGATAACATCTTGGGAAATAGAGACCATTTGCGAGGATGTATGACGATTGATGAAGTCTTTTGAAGAAATCGAGATTATATATATTCCTTGAACATGGAATGTATTAGCTCATAATCTAGCTAAAATTTCTATTTCATGTATAAATAAGATTTCTTGGGATTCTGCCTTCCCAAGTTGTGTAGTAATTAATGCAATGGTGTCTTATGGACATCTGAAACACATTTTAAAGTAATGCAATAAAATGTTTTCCTGAAAAAAATAATGATGGGGAATTCAATTAAATTAGAATTTAATATAATATATTTTTTCCTTTTTAAATATCTTAATGTCTATGATATTTTTAATTATAATAAACTCCTTTATTCTTATTTACTTGTTTATTTTTGACTTCACACACATATTAAGAAAAAAATAACAATTGACAGTGGATTAACATTTTACCCCTATTAAATGATAAAATTTCAAAATCAATTTACTCATTAAGATGTTCTACCTTAAACAAAAATATTAGTTTTCTTAATAAATTGAGGGTATAATAGGTAAAAAAATATTTTATTTTCTTGATTTGTCAAAAATAACAAGTAAAATGGGACAAATAAAAAGTATAAATTGAACAAGTGAAAAGAGACTTTATGAGTACTTGTAATGTATTAATTTATAAAGAGCTATGTATAATATTATTATACCTATACTAGCTACAAGAGCTCGTGCTAGCACGGGCCCAACATTTGTTATTTTTTTTCTTCAAGTTTTGTGATATGGACAAAATTTGAAGAGTTTAGATATTTAAATTGTTAATTATTGTAATTATAAAAAAATGTAATGTATAATTTTCTTATATGTTGTTAAGATAAGGAGATTTTGAGTTGACCTGAACTAAAAAATAATATGTATATTTTTAATTATTTTAATTTATAATAATATTTTTTCATAATTTTTAATTACATAACATACGAAAAAGAAAAATAAGATAAATAAATTAAAACCAGAAGAAATGTGTGAATAGAAGTTACAAAATTGGTGCATGTGTAGAAGCTTTTTGTGTGGAAGTACAAGGAGGCATAGGCAGCCTAGATGCGTATTATTAGATATGTGTACTATTTTTCTTCACTAGAGTTTTAGCCTAGATGCGTATTATTAGATATGTGTACTCTTTTTCTTCACTAGAGTTTTTCTTTTTTAAAGTTTTTTTTAGTAAGATTTTTAATGAGGCACATTATCAACGAATTAGGCATTCAAAGGGAAGTGTTAAAAATATAGTGAATGTCTATCTTTTAGAGAATATTTTGGAACCCTAATTTTGGGACCAAATCAATTTTCCCCTATAAATAGAGGTCCTCTTCATGGTAAAATCAGCCCTCAAGAAAAATAATAAGTCTTCTCTCTTCTCTCTACTTTCTTGGGGCTTTGAATTAAAGGTGACATTAAGGTGTCAAAATAAAGGGGCGGTGACATAAGTCTTAATTATTGAGTATAGGTGACAATTATGTGATTAATGATTAAGGATTGCGGTGTTTGCCCTCAAGTTTATAAGTTGGCAGTTTTGGTCCCATTTGAATTGGGGTAAAAGGGTAAATGACTAAAACCTAATTTAACCAATTTTGGTGGGAACCAAAATTGGAGGGAAGCCACCAGCTGTACCAAAAGGGGGAAATAAAACATCCCCCCGTATTCCTCTTCTTATTCTTCTTCTGCTATGTTCTTGCTCTCTTTTTGCTTGGTTGCTTGCCTTTCTTCTTCCCGTTCTCTTCATCTTCTTCTTATTCTTGTTTTCGTACATTGTTGGTCTTGGCTGCTGGTCCTTCTTGAGCTCTTTTCATCTTCTTGAATAAGATTTAGCTAATCTAATCAGTGGACCAGATTTCGTTCTGTATCAATTGGAATTACTTCATAAGTGATTGGGTTCACACACCATTGTTTTGGTAAGTAAAATTAACAGTTCTTTGAAATCATTCATTATCATCTGGGTAGCCGCAATATTTTCAATAATTTGCATTCGCGTTTCCAACAGATGGTTGTAAACGTTGGAACATATGACTTATACATTTTATCACAACATGTGATTTATGTTTTTGTCACGACCCAAGCCTAGGGCCTAGACGTGACATGGCGAATGAGGAACCCGAAGGAACCCCAAACAAGCCTCTCAAACTTGTCATCACACTTCATCGGTCGCGGAAGCACATTCAACATTAATTAACGGGAAATAGGGACTAAGGGCAAACCATTTCAAAATGACATCATAGAACAAGAGTCAAG